TGCTGGATGTAGGCGTGGATTCGCTCCAGCATCCCCTCGCAGCTGTACTCGTAGGGCAGGTAGGGGTCTACCTGTGGGAGAGACGGGTGGACACATGGGGGAGGAGCGCCGGGCCCCTCCCCGACCCGGCTGCTGGGGGCCAGCCCTGCTCTGCACTGGGGGCAAAATCTGGTGCGTCCGGAAGCCCCTCCCCCCGCACCATCTCCCTGGCCCCTCTGGATCGGCTGGAACACCTGCCTGTGGCCCTAAGGGCCATCCCACCCCCTGCCTGCCCCCTTCCCGGCTGCCCTCCCTTTGTCCTAAAGCTCAGCCCCCATCCCCTCCTGGGCTGTGATGCCTGCCCTTTCCCACAGCCAGCCCAGATGGGTTCACCCTCCCCTCTTAGGTGACACCTCCTCCAGGAAGCCGTCCCTGAGCCCCAGCCCCACTCCTGTCCAGGACCACTCTCCTGGGTGGCACCCTAGAGTTCCTCCAGGGTGGAACTGGCACCTGTGTCATCATTTCCGATCTGTCCCTCGTGTCTCCCAGGTTACGGGCCCCCTGGAGAACTGGGACCTGCCCGGTACAGTGCCCGGTATACAGTAGGTGCTCAGCAAGTAGCACCTCCAGCTCTGCCCATATATTCTGCCCAGAAGGTAGAACGTTCACGAAAAGGAACACAGGGGCGTCTCCCGGTCAGGTGGAGCGAGGAGAATTTGTAAGGCTTCCTGCCCAGGCCAGGCACCTGGGAGCTACGTAAGACACGAGCCCCCAGACGGAGAGGCCACAGACCATCTGTCCGAGTACCTGACGGTTACAGAGCAGCCTGCACCGGGGATGAGCAGATGAGCCGAGTAGCTGGGGCCCGAGGAGCAAGGGGAATAGGGAGACACGGTGATAAAGGGGGTGTCCACCGCCCGTGAGTGGGCACCCCACCTCCTTGCCAGTTACCTTTCCTAACCAAGCCCTCTCTGGTGACCCCGGCACACAGCCACCTTGGCTGGACGGGGCCGTGGGGACAGCCCATCCCAGACTCAGAGAGCAGCCTGTTCGGGCCTCCGACCTCGCTTCTCCCCAGTGTGTGTGCACGTGTGTGTATAAGATGCAAAGCGCATCTCATACGTGTGTGTGTGTGTGTGTGTGTGTTGTGTGTACGTGGGGGCGTGGGCGCCACACCCGGCCCAGCCCGATTCCAACTTACGCCCTTTCCCTGCCCGCAGCTCCAGGTGCTGTGATCTGACAGCTCTGCCCCAGTGGGAGCGGCCTCCCTCCCCCGTCACAGACGGGCAGCACCGGAAGCCCACTCAGGTGCACCGGAGGGGGGGGGGTCCTGCTTCCCATTAGACCCCACCTCGAAGGGCTGGAGGCCCATCCTGGGCCCTCTGCCTGGGGGGCATCCCCGACACTCAGGCTGAGGGGGGTGCCCGGGGAAACAGCAGCTGCTCCCCTTGAAACGAGTGCAGGCCTCCAGAAGATTCTCGGGACGAGAGCCCACCCATCTGGTCTTGTCCCCAGTTCTCCCTGCAGCTGAGAGCACTATTCTTCATCCACGGGCGGTTCCAGAACCCGAGAGAATCCAGGTCCTATACCCCAGCCACCGGCAGCCTTTGCGGCCCCAAGCGGTGCACGGCCCGGCCCCCGACCTGCCCTCAGCCCTGGGGCTGATGGCCACGATGGCCCCGGCAGCCGGCTCCTGCCCAGAGGTTCCCTGGACACCTCCAGGGTACAAGACCTCAAGCCCCGGCTAGAGATCGGGGCCTGGAGGAGCGGGTTCCCCTCCAAGTGCCACTCGGCCTGCTCCACAGCAGCAGCCCCCCCACCCCGAGTCACTCCCGCTGCGCTTTGAAGCCCACATCACACGTAATTCGCATCAGCCAGCCGCGTCCCGCCTGCCATGAATCTCCACCAGAGGAGCCAGCCTGCCTGGAAATTACCCCCATTAGGCCTAATTACAGGTGCTCACGGTGTAATCCGTCTCGACAGGCTGGCAGGTGCTGGTCCTGCGCTGTAAGGAGAGCGGGGG